GGTGTTGGGCTTGGTTTCAGAGGGTAAAAATACATCTCTTTCCTTGCTGTGCTCTTGGTTTTATTTTTAACTCTTAAGCAATGTAATATTTTGTAGTCTCCTTGTATTTCCCTCAGTTTTCCATCTGCTACTGTGATTAATTTAGGGTTTGGCTTTCTACAGCCAATCCAGAGCAAAGGGAATGGAAACCTCACCTATATTATTTGGCACGGAGCAGCAGACATGAATAACCTTGGAATTTTGGGGGAAAAAGAGAAGTTATGTAGGTTTGGAGCCAGAAATCTGAGTGAAAAGCAGCTCTTGCAGACAGCAGGAGGGTCAGGCTGCAGTTCCTCGGGGGAGGTGCTCCAGGTGTGTGTTTGGAGGTGTTGGTGAGGGCTCAGAGGCATCAGAGCACACTGATCTCCTGTGGTCTCGCAGCCAGGCAGGAGGAGGTGCCACAGCTTGGCTTTTCTTCCTGCTCTTCAGTCCTAAGTGATGTGATGGAATGGAAATTTGCAGCATGGGGAGGAAGGTGGGACAGGTTTCCTCAGGCTGTGGGAGGAAGGAGCTGCAGCCACAGCAGTATGGGCAGCAGGTGAGGGAGGTGATTCTCCCCCTCTGCTCTGGTGAGAACCTACTGGAGTTCTGCACACAGCTCTGGTGTCCTCAACATCAGAAGGACATGGAACAGTTGGAGCAAGTCCAGAGGAGGCCACGAAGGCGATAAGAGAGTTGGAGCAACTTCCCTATGGGAGAGTTGGGGCTGTTTAGCTGGGAGAAGAGAAGGTTGTGTGGAGAGCTCAGAGCACCTTGCAGGAGCTGAAGGGGCTCCAGGGAAGCTGCAGAGGGATCTGTGTTAGGAGCTGCAGGGACAGGACAAGAAATATGATTCTATGATTCTGTGAAATTCTGTGTAATACGATTCTATGATTCTGTGAAATTCTGTGTGCCCTGAACACCATCCACATCTTCAGTGTGACACCAATCCCCATACCAAGGATACTTCAGACCCTGAGGGACCTCTCCAGTGCTCTTGTACCTCCTGGTCCATACAGGACCACCAAGGGGGTGAGGACAGTGTGTGTGTCCAGCCCATCTCACCATCTGCATGTTGGCTTTGCTCCTCTCTCCAGCCCAGCTGAGGAGCATCACTCACTCCTGGGGTTCCCTGCAGGCCTGTGGCTGTGCTGACTGCTCTTCCTGAAGCTTGTTTGCTATCAGATAACAAATATTCCTTCTTTTGCTCATCTCTGCTGTCATCTTGACAGGATTTATAGGCTCTGATCATACCTGCACTTGATTCTCCTCTCGCTCTCTTGCCAGGGACCATATCAGTTCTGCTTATCATTTAATGCACTTCTTGGTATTTTTCCTGGGGCTTCTTCCAGCCTCATTCCTTACCAGAAATATTTCCTAGCTGCTCCAGTTCAGCTGGAGGAAAAGCTTCACTGTTTACCTGCCATACACTCCTTGTCAAGCTCTGATCTTCTTAGAGCTAAGCAGCTTACCCACCCAGGCTGGCACTCAGACAGGAAACCTGCCTGGAGAGCTCTGCAGAGCTCAGGCATGGCAGGAG